AACTACTCAGTTCCTTCAGTAGCTATATTCCTCCTCCACAAATCACTCCCACCCAGTCCTTTAGCTGCCTAAACTATGTTCTGGAGATGTGCGTAAGCAGTGCCTTGCTATTTTGAGCTGAATGAAAAGAGTCTTGGCACATGAATTCAGGATGAAATCTGTTTTGTTCTGGTGAGTTTGGCTTTTACCACATGTGCAGTATATACACAAAACACAGTTGTAGAATTCAGTTTATAGTGTCTAACAGTAAAACCATAAACATTTGAGTGAGAAACGTGACTTCTGAATGATCTTTAGCCTGTCTGTCATGCCAAAGGAATATATTATGCCCTTCTTTTCTGGCTGATTTTGATATAACAGGTTGATTAAATGATTGCTCCACTCCCCCACACTGAGCAGTGCCTGCCTCAACTGTGAATCACATTGCACTCTTCATACTTTCATAGGAAGAACCCTGAATTAAAATACATATTTTTTAAGCTAATTTTTAATAGAACCCTGTCAATATTTGCTGGGTTTCAGAGTTTCAACTCCTCATTCATTTCATCTTTAGCTATTTAATCCAAGATCACATTGAAGTCTAGGCTGCACTCAGCAACTGGTCTGTTGTGATTAAAGCTGGAATTAAATGACAGTTTTTCTTAGATCTTAAGCCCCGTACTTATCTGCTGATGAAACCAGTGAAATTAAGTAGATGCAATACATGCACCCAAATAGAAAGGTGAGGTCAGTGTCACCTGCCTGGCGGATTTGCTGTCCCTTTGCTCTTTTCATTAACTGCTGAATTCACTGGTTTTCAATAGGCTCTTTCAGCATGTCATGCTACACCACCATTGAACTACAGCCACACTGCCACCCATCTTTCTTAATGAGGACCGGAGACTGTGGAGCTGCCTTGTTGCCATGGTAGCAGGTGCTTTCACATTCTCCCCACATAGTGTGGAGTGTGCATGTTGTATCCTCCGAACTGGAGCGCGCCATGGCAGAGACAGGTCTGCGCTCAGACAGGACCGAGCCAGGGTTATTTACCTCCCACTCTGATACCAGATGCCCTCTTAATCCCACCACCCACACTACACCTTCCATTCTCTTTATTACTAATGCATGGCAGTTCCCTTTGGCTGCTCTCACGTACTGAACTTTACTCCAGCACTTACTTTTCTGTATTGCTTCGGGTTTTGTTGGGGCAGCTGTGGCTCAGGATGTACAGCAGAGTGGGTTGTCAATTAATCACAGAGTTGCTGGTTGCATACCCATCCCCTCCTGTTCAAAGTGTCCTTGGGTAAGACAGTGAATGGCAAATTGTTCCTCAAGGTCAGACCAGCACCTTGCACTCATTCACACTAGCAGGCACTTTGATGAAAGTGCTGTTTAAAAGCAGTCATTTGCTGTTTATTCTTCAGGTATATTAATGAGGGGAATAGTGAAAATGAGTAGCGTAGCCAGGGACCCAACAAGGGGAAGGGCTGTAGGTAAAAGTTGGTTTATATCTGAAATTTTAAAATGGTATCTTATTCACATTATAAGCAAACCATCTAGTAAACAGACAGTTTGACAGACTATTTCATATTTCTAAAATTGTATTAGAGGCTCTCAAGGGCCATTCTCCTGTCTGAAACAGGTGCATCCACTTCGGATAAAAATGGATTCCTCTGCAAACGCAATAATTTCACAGAGGCTGATGCAGAGGACTTCTGGTGACCTTTGAAGTAAATAATGTCATGAAGAAAAAGTAAAATCATGCTACCAATGGAGAGAGTGAAAAAGAAAAAAACTTGCTAGCAGTTGTTGAATGGTTTGACCTTGTTATGTAACATTTGGACACCAAGCCATTGTTAAAATGTCTTGCTGATGAATGTAACAGCATTGCAGTCAGTTTCAGAAGCAGCTACAGGTGGATTGGTTTTCTATAGCACTGTGTGTAACAGTAGGATAGGAGCAGGCTAAACAAGAATACTATTAATTATTATATTAATTATTGATTAATCTGCCAATTTTATTTTGTTTTTTTTGTTTTTTTACAAATGTGGCGAAAAGTAACAACTGTAGGTACATTTACTCAGATACTGAGTACAATTTTTATTTTATTTTTAATAGTTTTATGCAATTTTATATCTCAGTACCATTCAGAGGGAAATATTTTACTTTCTACTCTATTCAGTTGTTTCCTGCCACTTTGATTTTAAAACGTGATTGTCATATAAAATATAATGATACAGTACAATTTAATGGATGAAAGGCCCTGCATACCCACACAGATGTCTGTGGCTGTTTATTAATTGACAATTTATGTATATTTTGAAGTTACTCTGTTACTTTTCCTTAAGTACAGTTTTGTTTCTTCGTGTTTTTCTTGTATTAGAGATTTTACATTGTGGTATTGGTGCTTCTTAACCCACTATGGAAGTTCTGTAGTTTATTTACAAAGCTCTGTGAGCACTTGTTTCAAGAATTGTTTTGGCAAATTATGAATGAGTTCATTAATGCAAACAAAAGTATGCCATGGGAAAAGGCTGTTTCTCACATGTGGCCCTTTTGCATCATGCATGCTTCCCTGTGCTTCAGTGTGACATGCCTGGACATGTCTGCTACATTAGAGGAGGCTCACTGAGGATGCAGACACATAGTGCGGAGTTCATACTAGGATAATAATTTGCTGGACACTGAACAGTTTCAAGGTAATACGATTCATCTCTTCAGATTTGAGCTGTGTGAAGTCATTGTTGATGTTTTATTTGTGTATTTGTAGAACTTCAGTTGTAACTTATAAATCACAGTGTAGAAAATGTCATACAGTGTTATAACCTGCAGCAGGTGGAACCCTCTTGAGTTTTTTTTGTTGTGCTCATCTGAAGGCTATGGTGTGTGTGTGTGTGTGTGTCTGAATAAGAGCACAGAGATGATGTGTGTAGAGACATCTGTGTGTTTAAAAATGGAGGAATGCAAGCATAATGCGGTGTTGATTTGCTGAGATGGTGAAGTGGCATGCTACTACAGCAAACCCTTTTACCACTTTTATTATTACTTCACTGCTGCTATTAAAACTACTACTACTGCTGAAATACTATTACTACTCAGACGATCATTAGCTTTCAGTAGTTAGCATTTAAGAGATTGTTGGAAGCATTATGTGTGCAGCATACCTAGGAATACTTGTAGCATGTAGCCTGTAGTTATATGTGTACTCAGAATAACAAAACAAGATATGCAACCTGTCAGGTTGGACAACGTTAATCAGCATCCGACAGTATTTAGTTGCATGTGTAAAACTGTCAACAAAGATGAAATATTCATGATGTGCACTGAAGACTTTTCTGGAATAGAAATGCAGGGAAAGTCTTTGATCAAGCTACAAGCAGCAATACACATTTGACAGATCAGTGTTTATGCAGTCTCACACTTGAGCCGCTCAGTACAGTGAATGCTTTTCTCCATGCAACCCGAGCTGGAATTATGAATTGTCACAAAAAAGCATATTCAGCTCACTTAGCGGACATTCAGTTCTGACCTTCACTTTACAACGAACCATTTCAAGGCAAGAAAACTACACTCTCTTGTAGATGCCCTTCCTCCTTCATAATGGGGTTCTGTCACTTTTCATTCCCTCGCTTTGGGGGATTGTGCAGTTCCTGAGGTTTGCATTGGCTCTGAAGAAATCTGAGCCACAGTAAGAAGATGAAGCCGTAGCCACTTGGAAATAAAGACACACTGTACATATTTTTTTCAGGTTCAACTGCTCAGAACCAATGTATTACTTCAGTGGTTCAGTATGTGTGTACATATGTGTTTTTTGTAGAACACATATGTTAGATCTATGTTTTATTCATCCAGCTTGCTGCAAACAGAAAGGTATAAATGTATGGGCGCTGTAGGTTCTAAATTTAACCTGCATTTATGTTTGTTCAAGTTTGGTTCGACAACACTGATTTTCAGACTGTCCCAGATTGGCCCAAAAAAGAGAATGGCAGGTGGGCTGAGGATAATAAGGTAACTAAAATATTCACTAAGTCATACCTTGTGCTTATAATACTGGAATAGTAATAATTAATTATTTTTGATTTTTCTACATGCCGTTTAGTACACAACATTCCGTTTGGATATGCATGGTACAGCTCCTGTTCTAGGACACAGCAGTGTAACCTCTGTGGGTGCAATACTATTCACTACAGGCTTGTTGTAGCAGCAGCAGCACTCTGTTGTCTGTGTTTTCCCCAGTCTGCAGTCTAGGTGGAGAGGACAGCCTCCTTGTCCCACCTGCAGAGGAACAGATAGCTGGCTGGCCTGGTGGTGAAGTGTGTGTATGCAGCCTGGCACTCGATGATGTGTGCTATATAGGATAAGGAGGACGCCTTCGGGTGAGAACGGCCCCTATGCCAAGTGGTTGGGTCGAAGGTATTTATCAGCGCTGCCTGCCTGCACTGAGGTGCAATAACTCTGGAGAGGAGATGAGTGAGGCGTGGGGAGACCTGGGGGTGGGGTCAGGTTACTCCCAGTTACTTTGCAGCTGAATAGAGGCTGAAACACTAATTGTAGGACAGCACACAGGGCAGATTAGAAGATTTGTCTCTACAGGGAAAATGCATATGAAAATGAAAAACAACAAAACAGTGCCTTTAAACAGTGTTGGCATGCTAACACACAGAAAACTTTAATCCTTAATCAGTTTGTGTGCTTGCATGTGTGTTAGCATTTCTCTATGCCAATGTGAAAATACCACAGTTATTCACATTCATGTAGTATGTCTGTCTGAGCTAAACCTCTCTGAATCTCCAGCTCTCTCTCCCTCCCTCACCCTCTGTCTGTTGCGCCCTCCCCTGCCTTCCCTTTCTGTGTGAGTGTAGTCTGGGCGTTGAGCCAAGTAGTGTGTTTTTTTGAATGAATACCTGATGTGGCTGATGAGGCTGGCTAGGGGAGGAGCAGTGTCAGTGGAGTACTGAGAGAGAGAAAGGAAGAGGAGGGTGGGAGGTAGGGATGGAAAGAGAGAGAGGCAGAAACACATACACACAAAGAGGGAGAGAGAGAGAGAGAGAAGCAGCCAGGCAGAGAGGGAGCTGGCGGTCTGGTGGCCTTGCATAACACACATTGGAGCAGCCTTGCACGCAGGACTTGGTGTGAGCTTCAGCAGTAGGGAACTTCCTTTACCATCAACCCTTTGCAGGGACAGTGTAGCTTCCTAACCAGGGAGTCCGGAGAAGAAGGCAGAACTGGAGCAGCTACAGCTCAGGTTCCAGGAGAGGAAAGCGGCACAAAGGAGAGATTCAGGAAGAGGAGTCCCAGGAAACACGTCTCCAACACACATACACACAGACAGACAGACACGCACACGCACTGAGAGGCAGGAAGAATCCTTGGACATGCTCTGCAAGCAGTGGCTGTGGAGAGACTGGTGAGCTATTCTTAGAACTCTAACCGGGGGGGCGGGGGTTGTCTCTTTTCTTCTTGATTTGTGGCATAGTAGTATTTTCTGCCCTGCTACTACACTCATGCACTCTCATTGTCATTCCAGAGCCCTCAGAGGCTACAAGCACAGCATCTGTTTAGAGTCACAGGATTCAACAGCATAGACCCTTCTTGGTTGTGGTGGTGCTCTCTGTGAGGGGACGCCTGCGTACAGATCTCTGTATGTATACTGTGTGATAGGCGTGTGTCGGGCAGTGATGCAGAACTCTGGAGTCATTGTGAAGACAAACAGCCTGAACCTCACTGCCTGTTCTTACTGTCTGCTTTAGTCTGCCACACGTTCGGTCCGCCTCTTAAAGGCACAGGAACCACAGAGAAGGGGTAGTAAAATGGCTCTTATGGGTTTTTAGAAAAAGCAGTACACTGTATTGATCTGTTGTGTAGTTAAAGCCGCTGTGTTTGTAACGGGGTTGAGGTGAGGTCCTGTATAGGTGTAGCAAATCACACGTCCATGCACGTACATATTGTTTTCCACAGTACCTCCCCCTCTGTTTCATGCCAGAGCTCAGATTGATAATGATGTTTTTGTTTTCTATATATAGCCATTTGCTGTACAAGGTATTCACAGTGTCTATGATTGGTCTAGCAGGGGAAACATAATGCATAGCAGCACTGACAACAGGTTATTCACCACAGGGTCAATGCATTGCTTTTTTGTGTCAAACTCAGGATATTGCTTCTAAATTATTATTGTGCCTTTCTATTGACTGCCAGAATCATCCTGCTGCAGAGAAATATTATTGCTATGCAGCCGTAGAACAATGTGAGAAGTAAATAGTAGAACTGGGAGAATGAGAGAAGACTCAGGGCTCAGGCAGTGGGGGTAGAGGTGGGGGCCTGCTGGAGCTAGTGACTGCTATGTAAGAGAGGCGGTGTAACTCTGCTGGGGGCAGTCTCACCTAGAGACAACAGAGAGGAGGCGGAATGGAAACATCATCTCATCTACGCTACTGTGCGTGCAGTGATGCCACTACACAAACCTAGTTGTGTAGTTTTTTTGTGTGGGAGTATGAAAGAGGAACACATGCAAGGCTGGCTCTATCACTCTGTCTGGCCTGAAAAGCATCAAGTGTGATGAGTGAAACAGTGAGCGTCATGTCCTCCCACATTCTCTCTCTCTCTCTCTCTCTCTCTCTCTCTCTCTCTGTGTCACCCCTCCATACATCTCGGAGGTGACAGTCCTGGGCCTGGGGAATTGACTCACGGGCTCTCATGCTGCTTGATTCGGTGTCATGCCATGGAAGCTTGCTTTTGTTCTCCATAGTATCTCACTGGCCGTATGTCTGTTGGTGTTCTAATAATAAGCTGACACTGGAAAATTTTAGAGAGGCTTTCAGCTGCTGAGCTCTGTGTAATCATGAGCAGAGAGTGCTGTGTGCAGGTCAAATGAAGAAAGGAGAGACACTTTCTTAAAGATCCTGTTTTATCTGTAGTCAGTTGACTCCGGTGTTTTTGTGGCATTCGGAAATCAGAGCATGCTGGCGTTGTGCGGCTGTAACCATAGGAGGTACTTGTGCTTCAAATGTGATGTCATTACAGCGCTGACACGGAGCTGCTGAGGTGGGGTCGTTGCTGCACAACATAGCTCAGGCTGTAGTGGTGGCTGCGCTGCTGATCAGGGATCTCTCATCGAGGCGGGGGCTATGGCACTCTGATTCTGCAGGCGATGCTCAATGTGGGTCAGGAGAAGCGGCACCCTGTCTTCTCCCCGTTCCCCCATTTCCACTCCCTCTTTCTCATTTCTAATCCTCTTCCTTCTGTCTGGCCCTTACTCTGGATCCCTCCTTCTACACAGTTCTGTCATCTTACATCGCCTTTCTTTCTCCCTCTCTTCCTCCTCCTCCCCCTCCGCTTTCTGTTTCTCTGCAGCTCTGCTGCTCTCCTCCTTTGTCATGTCTGGTGGATCTACCAGGCTGTATGCTTAGATGAATCTCATGATTTGAAGTTTTCGCTGCTTTTGGATGGCAGTGACCTTGTTAAAACCGTTGTTAGAGGTAGACGCATCTACAGTAGATTAAAACTAACCAAGGTCACCTCCTGTGTTCTGTTCCCCTCTGTCTTTATGTAACATGCCCGCTATAGTGAACCTTCAGTTTAGTGCTGTTGAATGGCCCAGTGCTCTGAGTGGAACGTAGGGGAAAAATAAATGAATGGATGGATGGATGTGTGAGTGTGTGTCATACACTCCATCTCTGTGGTGTCTCTGGCTAATGAACAACTCAGAGTCCTGTGCACTGACTCACAGATACGCTTGCAGGAAAGAACAGTCCATCTGAATAAGAAACTGTGAAAAAATGAGCTTTTGGGAAGCCAAAGGCTACAACTGTATGCTTTTTAAATAGATGCATTTGTGTGTGCACATTTTAGAGATATAATATGTGAGTATACAGTATGTACTACTTTATGTTGGGATAACCCTTCGATCAACCATTGGCTTGTTGACCTACAGTAGTTTGGTACCTTTTTTACTAACGCACCTTCTATAGGTCATAATATCCAGTACCCATGCCATTCCTAGCCAGGCTGTTTCAGTACTCATTTAACTCAGCTTTAGTCTGCCTTTGGCCAAACCATTCTGAGAGGGCTGCTCATTCATTGTTTGTTGTCCCCTTTGTATTCCTTTGAACTCTGAAACACCACTCAAGCAGCGGAAAGCCATTGTTAAAATATTTTCAAGCACTTCAGTGATAGCAACAAAGGCCCATTTATGCTTTTTGCAGAATGTTCCATAGTCAAAGTTCAAGCCATATTGTTTTCATTTCATTTTATTTATATTTACAGTAGCCTCACCGACTCAACACAAGGACTGGGAGTGTTAAAACAAAGACAAAAGCTCATCTGAGGCTGTCACTCTGTGTTGTTACCCTTTCACTATGCTCTGCGCTCGTACCCTAGAGCCCAGAGCAAGATAATAGCCAATAGCAACGCAAAGACACACTGTAAGTGCACACAGTACTCGCATACACCCAGACATGCAAACACTGGAGTTCAGGAAACTGCCTGGTATTGAACATATGAAAGAACATTTCCTACATTATGCAAATGATGACACAACATTATACTATATTTCTATACTTCCCTGTGTGTCATAAATCATTACTTGTGGAAAAAGCTGGTTGAGCTTTAGTCTATGTAGATCCTCAAGATGACTCTTTAGAGGTTGTTTTCAACCAGTAGACAGAATGGCCTACATCTTGTGTTCACATGCATTAGACACAAATCAGGCACAGTAGTGTATTTATACCAGGCACCAGCATGTGGCAAAACAAAGAGCAACACCTTCACAAACGCAGAAACATTTTAAAAGTATTTTGGTGTTTGCTATTTTGCATTTGCAGCTCTGGAAAAATATTTTGCCAGTATGGCCAACACAGGCTGTGCTTACTGAGGTAGCTTTGCAGTCCAATTGGACTAATGACATTGAACAGACGTTTATTTATATAGACAAAATGTAGATGTTGGCTTTAAAATCTGTGCAACAATTGAACAAGTCTTTTAAAAGTAATTGCACATAGACCTGTGTGTCTTACTGTACCTTAAATTCTCTCTGCCTTCAGATTACTACCGACATCGCGGAAGAGGCGGATCGGTCAGCGATGATTCCTCATGAAATCTATGGAGCTCATTTTGTGAGCTGGAATGAGATCGTCTTTTCTGACCTGCAACCTGGAGCTGTCTACCAGTGAACAACAAGAGAGCCTGAGCCACACAGCATACAGGCTCTTTCCTGCACACAACCACTGAGTGGAGGTGAGAAAAAGGGAAAAGCGCTCTCAGAGGAACTTGGAAGTAGTACCAGAGAATATTAAAACCACGCTGGCACAATGAAATCCAACCAGGAGAGGAGTAATGGATGTCTGCCTCCTAAGAAGCGTGAGATCCTTGCTCTGGAGCAGAGGCCAGTGGTAGTAGCCACAGCTACACCTCCAGCTGCAGTGGTGACCGATAGTCCCCACACAGAGAACCTAACATGGTTGGCAAGTGTAGCCAGTGAACGCTGTAAATCTAGGGATGCAGAGAGCCCCAGATGTCCCATCTCTTCTGCTTCGTCCTCTTCTCCCTCTGCTTCTATCCCTGCCTCAGCAACCCCTCTGTCTGCAGTGCCTCTGGCTTCTCTGCCTGCAGTTTATCCCACAGCCCTTCCGCAGCAGGCCGGGACCATCCAGCTTGCTCAAGTGGGACCCAATGTTCAGTTCATCAGCTCTGGGCCGTATGCTGGCTACATATCTTCTCACATCATCTCAACAAACGCTAGTTCCGTGCCTAACAGCTCTGCCATAGTAGCACAGCGTTCGCAGCTGGATGGTTACACCACCGCCCTCATCTCACCCAATACCAAAGGGGAGCAGCAGTTCCAGATAGGCCTCTCCCCAACGGAGCTGGCTCCTGTGTCACTACCGAGCTCTCCCCAGGTCACCAGCCAGTACATCCATCTGGACAGCAGAACACCCCTGACTGTCAGCGGAAATGCCATCACTTCGGCTACAGCCCATCTTCAGCTCCACCCTCATGCAACTGTCCTTCCTCAGACACTTACCCTTGCTCCCTCCCAGCTAGTGGTTCAGTATGCTGATGGTTCAGTTGTAAAAAAACCAGAGGACCATGCTAAGGCTGTGCTGAACGGTGAACTGGAGGTGGTCAAACAGGCAAAAGTCTCCCGTCAGCCAGCAAACCATCAGCAGGTCCAGAGCTATGAGGCAAGACATATCATCCTGCCTGCAGACTATGGCCAAAGCCCTGCAGGTCTCCAGACCTCCTTGGTGCTGGTGGCTCAGCCCAACCATGGAGCTGAACATGAAGCTGGTTCAAATAAGATCTCTCTAGTTCAAACTGAGAAAGGAGGCATATGTGTGGGAAAACCAGTGTCTAGGTCTTCTTCTTTCACCTCCCTTTCTTCCTCTGAGGTGGTGAAGTCTGTTGCTCCTCATACTGTCATCCAAACTACTCTATCCCACGAGGAGCTGCCAGCCAGTCTGTACTCATCCACACAGCCACCCATCATTGGTTATATCACAAGCACAAATCAGCATGCTGTCAGCTACCATGCAGCACTGCCCCAGCACCTAGTCATCCCGAGTGGCCAATCCCTCCTCATCCCAGTCAGCGGCACCAACAATGGCACAGAAATAGAGGTTAGTCGCCCTGTCAGTGCCCTGACTGCTACCACTACCCCTCAGATATCTACTACCATGCCACATGCCTATTTGGCCACAGCCCTGTCCAAGTGTGAGACACTTGGGCCAGACGTAAATCAACCAACCCCAGCCATCACACAGGCTCCAGCGCTGCCAGTCCTGCCCTCAAACCCGGCTCCTGCAGCGGTAGCAGCTCCCTCCCCAACTCCAGCTCATGCCTCCACGCCGGCCCCTGTGTCCATCCAAGCGTCCCCCTGCATCTCTTCTTCCTCTTCCCCTGTGGCACTTCCTCCATTCTTCATGCGAGGTTCCATTATCCAGCTGGCTGATGGGGAGCTGAAGCGTGTGGAGGACCTAAAGACAGAGGACTTCATCCAGAGTGCTGAGATTAGCAGTGAGCTGAAGATTGACTCCAGCACTGTGGAGCGTATTGACAGTGGGCAAACTCCTAACGCTGTGGTCATACAGTTTTCTGTGGGAGAGCTCAAAGCCCAGGTACATTATTCCTGATTCATAATTTATCTATGATTACTGGCAAATTTAGAGAATGTGAACTCACAAGTCTTTGGCAGCAGAATTCTCTAAACAAAAGATGATGAAACAGACGAGAACATTTCCCTCACTCTCACAGTGTCTATAGCTTTAAAAAAGAGTTTCAAAACACAAATAGCTAATGGAAAACTGAGAGAAATTGGAGCACCCCTCTTACTTCATGTCATTATTTTCCAACCTACTACTGTTATCTCCACTCATTCTCATGGAGCAGGTGCTAAAATATATTTTTTGCAACATAAAACTATGATTGACTTACAGCCATTTTGGATAAATTACAGACTACAGCCCAAGTGATTATTGGATTACTAAGGCACATAGCAGCAACACTATTTGGAACACTGGGGAAAAAAGGAGAAAACAGAACAATATATTGGTTTGTATTAATTATTTTACATAAATATACAAATCGCTTAAATTTAGGACAGATTTTGATGAAGATATACACAAGGTGGGACATTTTACAGTTCGCTTGTCAGTGCTGCTCTGATGGATATCGTATGTAATGATCTCACTTTTTCCAAATTATCTCAAACATATCTTTCTCAAGTTTCCCAGTAAACCATGACAGTGAGTTACCAAGCCAACAGGCACAATACCAGGCACCATCATTTTATTATTACACATGTAAACAGAAAAAGGGCTGAGGCTTATTCTTCTACAAACAAGAAATTATACCAAAAGAATAATCTGACATCACAAACCAATTTTACATAATTTATTTTTAAATCAACTGCAAATATTTTAGTCTGTATCTGCCTAAATGTTAACTGTGTGCATGTGCGTTTATCCAGGTGTGTGTGGAGGTGCTGGTGGAGTACCCCTTCTTTGTGTTTGGCCAGGGCTGGTCGTCTTGCTGCCCAGACCGGACCACCCAGCTATTTGAACTGTCCTGTGCTAAGCTGTGTGTGGGTGACGTGTGCGTGTCTCTGACCCTCCGTGGCTTGAGGAATGGTTCGGTAGCAGACAGCCAGGTTTTGGGGACCAAGCAGAAGGCCAGTCACCTCTCTGACTCCTGTCACAACGTGGACGCCACTGTCAGAAACATTACAAGTCCAAATGCTGCAGAGAGTAACAGTGGCCTCCTAATGAAGGCTTCGAGTAGAGACAGGCTGGAGAGGGAGCAGGCTACTGGACCAGGACCAGAGATACCACTGGGACTAGTTCCAAAACCAGCTGAAGGGATCTATGGAGCTGGACCAGTGCTGGCGGTCTCTGGGACTGGAGAAGTAAGACAGGAATTTGTGAAAACAGACACATCTGCTCTTACCAGAATTCAGTGTGGTGATCCAGAAAGACCTACAGTCCGCAAGAGACGCTGGTCAGCTCCAGAGAGAGACCAGACAGAGAGAGCAGAGGAGGAACCTCCTATGACTCTCCCCAAACCCTCCTTCATCCCTCATGAGGTTAAAATCAGCATAGAGGGCCACTCCAGTACTGGGAGTGCTTAAACAAAAGAGTGACAGTTGAGAATTCCCTGTGGTTTACTTTGTGTTGATCCCCTCTCTTTTCTTTCTGAGAGACTACTGTAACATAGACTGATTTTCCACAGTATTTACATGTTATCTTTTCTTTCACACAAATCTGATATCTCCAATGAAGTTCAGTAGAGCACCTTCATAAGTAGTATCACACACGAGATCAGTGCAATCAATGCTGAAAGCAAAAATGAATGCAGTGTGAATGGTGGGTATGAATGGCAGTCAGACACTTGAGAGACAATTTAATTCATATGCCACATATAAGCTGAATCTCTGTTTTCACATGGCTTAAACCTGTTGGATGCAGAGCAGTCGGCTGTTCTTCTTATCATATGAACAAGCACAGACCCCGATGTCAGCACGTAGAAACCATACTTCAACTCCCATACTCTTTGATTCACTATTTATTAGGTTTGTAGTGACTTTGCTGTGTGGTAGAAGAGTTGGAAGTTTAGAGGTACCTTTGGTGTTTTAGTGATGATGCTCATTCATCATGACCTCTGCTGCCTTGTGTACCTGATGAGGTGTTGAGTTTTATTTTATTGTTATATGTTTCATTTTCATACCGTTATAGATGTACTACTGCAGTTGGCTTGTGCCACTTGTCTGCATGTGGATGTGCCTGTGGATTGCTTTGTGTGTGTTTTTCTTTCAAATCGAACACAGAAGTCAGGCGTGTGTGTGGCTGTTAGCTGTGAGTTCAATTGTCAGTGTAGCCTGCAAATATTAAAACTAAAAAGGCCTGAATGTAAAGAATTGAATTTGCCCTCAGGACTGACCCATGCTGTTTGCTACACCAGTCTGCTGAGAATGTGATAGCAATAGATAGATAATTTGCAGTCTTATAGTTCCTTTCAAGGACAGCATGTGACACTAGCACACATCTGTCTTTAGCCATGGTTGCTATGTGTAGCATGTCACATCTGTACAAATAGGGGAAAATCAAGGTATTTTTGTCTAATACCTCCAAATGAGCTCTTAGCCAATCTGTTTATGGACTTAGTCATCATACTGCAAAATAAACCATAGCTGACTAATATAGTCTATGGCAAAAATATATTTTGACCACTGGGAAGTAGTGCAGCAAACTGCTAAGACAATGTTGACATTTTATAACCTGCTACCTATTTTAAATGGCAAACTTGCTAGCAAACAATTGCGTTTTTAAAATCTATCAGTCACAGAGAAAGATTAGCATTCATTTAGCGTTGTGCTTCAGACAGCCTGATGAACTTATATCTAGTTCATCCCGCTTTTAGTTTAGTTGATGATTTTAACCAACTCCTGAAAGAAATATCAGGCTTTTAAGTTTCTAACTCTCCATCACTTTTACCTGCTAGATGCTAACTTTGCTGTTTGGTGTTGGGAAGGTAGTTTACAGTGTACTTAGTTGTTTCACTGAAAACAGCTGCCTGCTGCACCTGAAATTGACACAGCTTCTGCATGTGGTTTCTGTATAAATCATCTGCAAAAAATTTTAGCCTGTGTTTAGCTAAAGATGAACTGTGTGTATATGTGTTCCTAACCAGGTGCGTGTAGAGGTGCTGGTGAACACCAGTGAGGATATTCTGCAGCCAGAAAACCAAAACATTTAGCTGAAAGATGCTAAAAGAGAAAGCTGGGTAATAATTTTGTCCTTTTCACATTACACATAGAAAATATACGTGTTAAATTCAAAATATTAATAAAGCAACCTCAAATGCAAACACACTATAAGATTTAAAAATCATAACATAATTGTTTATTTTTTACTACAGGTATTATGGCCTTAGAGCATAAGCTTGTTAGGTTTTTACCATTAAAACCAGTTTTCCTCAGTGATAGTTTGCCTTCCTAAGTTCACACTAAAATAGATTTCTTTAGATTAGTGTATGTGTCATTTATTTCTTAGAGAACATCCAAAATAAATACCTTACTGTTCATGCTCAGGAACAGCGTGTAACTGTGTAAACAGACAGGGTGTGTGGGGTGTGAGTGTGTATGATTATAGGCGTGAGACAGTATGTGCATGCCCGCAGTCACATTTGTATACGTGCGTTCTGAGCAGCAGCACTTTGATGAAGCATCCAACAGGAGTACTGTCGCCCAGGCAGTGGTGGTGCCCCTGTTCCTCATCCTATTAGATATACAGTAAGGAGAATAATCAACTGACTGTTTCTCATCACATAATATGCTACAGGTTTATCACTGAAAGAAGATATTATATACTAGGGCAGGGAATGTAAACACACATCGGCAAACTATCTCAACTTTATTTTAGATGATTGATAGAGCTGCTATTCAGACAAAGAAAGAGAGAGTTGTAGAGTTACCTAACCAGCTAGTGTTGATCATGTACAGTCAATTATATCCTAGAAAGTGTACAGTGTGTGTATAGATATTCTAATCTTTATGTCGCCTATGTACTGTATGTACCACAGGGCCTCCTTCTGCAATCATTCCATTAACTTGCCAATATCAAGTGGTTCTGCCCTCGTTTTTGTCAGTTCAGGTATTGACCCAATCTTCATGAATGTGTTACAGTTCTTGAGAACATTTATATAATTTAACCTCTCCAGAATTGAATTTGATTTGCACACTGTAACATACAGTATGTGTGAATATGATCTGTAGTTTTATCATAATAGCCATTAACCTTTTGTAACTCCTGAAAGATGTTCATTGTAAAGCCAGTAACCAGACTGTTCTCTTCTGTTTGTGTTTGACTGCTCAGGCTAAAACACTGCCCAGTGACTGTTCTCCTCCAAAACAATGTGGTTCTATATTAATCACTCTTACAAAGAAGAGCTACTGTTTCATCAGTTTGTCTTTGTAGTCATTTCTCTTTGTGAGCCTGTGTTTGTACTTTCCTTAGAAAATGCTATTTTTCAAACACAGACCTGAAATGACATCATGACACAGCAAATCCATCTGGGATTGATGATGAACAGGATCAGCTGGTGTTACTCTACATTTTTCTTATTGTCAACAAAGTCCATGAAGAGACCAAAACAGTGCATTTATCAAATCTTCTGACTTCCCTGCCCTGTCTTCAGCAGCCTATTCATTCCTACTGAAGATTGATCCATTACCTGTATTTTTATCCTGCAGAGGGTTGCGAGTCAGGGCTGGAGCCAAATGCAGTCTACACTGGGCGAGAGGCGGGGTACACCCTGAACAGGTCGTCAGTCTGTCACAGGGCTGACACAAAGAGACAGACAACCACTCACATCTAGGGAGAAATTTACAGTCACCAATCAGCCTAACCTGCAGGTTTTTGTTTTGGGCTGTGAGAGAAAATCCACACAGGCTAGGGTTGCCAACCCTCAGGATTTGGCCTGGAGACTCCCAGAATTGATTTAGGCCTCCCGAAAAAATCAATATGGGAGACTTTTGGTGTTTTTAAAATAGCCTACCAATTGAACATATGGAAGTAAAATGCCAGAAAAAAAAATATATTCAAATAGAAGGCATCTCCGTGGCACCAACAGTGAAACAGAAATGGCACAATTCAATTTTAATTAAATTAATTTAGGCTACTTATACCTTATTGTGGGGAGTTTGCATCGCCAGTCTTCTCTCTCGCTTTGCAGTTCTCTGGTGTTGAGGTGCTGAAGGGACAACTGCTGTACAGTGCATTATTAATGCAGTCATCCAGGTGGCTTTAATTTTTATATTTTGATGATATGAAAGGCCGTCGGGGCCCCTGCCTTCGACTGCTGCCCAATCCACTGTGCACCGGCCCCTTACAGATCCTCCTGCAGGTGATGGGCCCACGGGAGGACGTCCCCACGTCGCTCGTTCGGGCTAAGCCCGGCCAAGCCCCGTGAGGGGAGGCCCACCACCAGGCGCTCGCATTCGAGCCCCAACCCCGGGCCCGGCTCCAGGGTGGGGGCCC